CCAAGATAATTTTTAATTATTTTCATTTGCAGATGCAAAATGAATACAAGGACCTATGTTCAGTAGCAAAATTTCCACTTTCTTTTAAAAGTGCATGTTTACTTTTTGTTTTGTTTTTTTGATAGATTTTTCACAATTTGAATTTATACACATTTTTCCGGTGTGAAATTTAGATTTAAAATTGGCTTATTCAAAAATGAAATTTAAAGTGTTATCTTTTCAATCGGTTTGTTTTACACAAATTCATACAGACTTTAAAATTATGTGCAGGACTAAATATTGTCAGTATAATTGTTGGTATATTCTGTCATAGATAACTGTGCAATAAGAGAGAGTGAACGCAATCAAATTCTAAAAAATCATCAATCTCTAAAAAAAAAAAAAAATAATAATAAGTAAAGTAATACTGGAAAATTAGTGATTTCTCTCATCATTACAATTTAATTTATACCAGGTGCTTAGTGTACATTTTATATTTCGTGACTGGTACCTTTATTTTATGTTTTACTGTGTACATCATCACATTTCTATCTTGTTCTTTTGTTGGATGAACCTAATATTGAAAAATTATACTTTTTAATGAGATTACATGTAACATTATGTCTTATTACATGTCTTTTTTTTTTCTTTTGATCAGTCTAAGTTTGAAATCTTTGAATTATGATTATTTTCAAATTTGCAAGTAATTATTTTACATAGACTTTTTTCTTAACACTATGTTTTTGACTACATTTTTATAGCCAGTACAATCTACTTGGTGAAAAAGAGAAATATGGATGTAAGAATTGACATACAATTGAAACTGTAGAATTAGCCCAACAAAAGAATAAGAGAATAAAGAAAGATGGGTAGAAACTATCAAGAAAAGGGAGAGCTTGAAACATGCTTGATCTGAAACCTGCACAAATAAATAGGAATTGCTTGCTTTAAAAGATCAATCAAATGTCAAGACAAAGTTTTTAAAGATAACCAAATAATATCATGCAAAACCTGTATGCTCTAAAAGTAGACTGAGACTCTGGCAGATAATAGTGATGTTCCAGATGAAATAATGTTTATGCTTCAAAATGTGAAATACAGAAAAGCTCTAGGCAAAGATCACATAGCAACAGACACTTAGAAAAATGCAAGAGGATTTTTACAGTGATTTACTCATTTTCTTTAAGAAAGAAATATACTTAAAAACTTCAATCTAGAAATAGTAATCCTACTTTATAAAAAAGATCAAAGCTTAGCAACTATCACTCAATTTCATTACTATCAAGCATATACAAATTATTAGTCTCAAAAGTTATTACAAATTAACAAGCACTCTAAATTAAAAACAGGTATCCTTCAGGAGTAGCTGCTCAACAATAGGCCTACAACTGACAAAAAATCAGAATATAACAAACCATTGTCTAGCCTTTTTGTTGACTATACAAAGTCATTTGATTTAGTAGAACACATATCAGTCTTTAGTTCACTATCAGAACATTATTAATGAAAATTTATATAAAAGTTATTGAATATATATATAATATATATATATATATATATATATATATATATATATATATATATATATATATATATAAAATAGCAGTTGAATAATTCAATTACACAAAGGCATAGATAAAAAATAAAGATTTTGTAAAATGAGTGAAACAGGAGGATACAATTTTACCTTGATCATTTGAAAATATCTTTGAGATAACAAAGTGGGAAGGAATAGGACTTAAATGTAAGCAGAGACAATATTTGTACCAATTACAATTTACTGATGACATTCTGCTCATATCAGAATCATCTGATCAATTACAAGACATGTCAACAATCTAAATATGGAAAGTCTTAATGTAGATTTTAAAATGAACAGAAATAAAACAAAAGTAATATTTCAAGAAGAACTTCATAAGAATAGATGAAAAATGATTTAAAAAAAAACAATACTAGAAGTGAGTAGCACAATAGAAAAAAGATGACGTGGAGTAAAATATTGCCTGATTGGTGTCTAATTGGATAACTGAGATTGAGGGTGTTTGCTTTGCTGCTAAGACATGATACACAATAGAACATAAAAGGAGTTAAGAAAGGTTTTTGTTTTACTATGAACTAACAATCGCTGATAAGAGGAAACATGGTAAATGCAGATTAAAAAAAATTATCTTTCTGAATTAAGTAGAACAAAAGCTTTACCAAGTATATTACAAGTAAAATCATACTGTAATTTAGTACTTTGGTGAACTATTTCTATAATTTAACCACAGCAGAAAACTTTTCAAAAAGCACTGAAAGATTTAAACCTTGAAAGAAAAGTAACCTTGATATGAATCCCCAAATAATGATAAAAAGTAACAAACTTGGTGGTACCAGGTTATTCAAAAAATGACTTTTACAAAATTTCAACATTAAGTCTATTTATTCTCAAGAGACATCATCAAAATGATATAGTGATTTGAGTTCATCCATTTCTGCCAATGAGAAACAAGAGTTTTTCTCAATTTTCTGAAGTTGTTTAAATGGAAATTTTCAAATATTGAGCACCTTCTCAAATAGATTAGTTATCTTCCACTCATTTTCTTATTTATAACACCAGTAGAACAGTCATCTTTATTTTTCAGACTCACTTTCCATTACACAAAATAAGAAACCAACAGTGACTGAATATTCAAAGCTAATACTTTTGTTTCATATTTGGTTATAGGTAATTTGAGAAATATTGTATCCAAGTAATTTTTTTTCATTTTTAAATTTGAAGGTTTTTAAATGAAAAAGAAAACAACACTAGCAAGTTAGTAACATAAGATGATTGATTAAAAGCATACATTTTTCCATATATTCATGGCATATTTCATGTTCTTTACAGATTAAACAAAAATATCTTTGTATTTCAAAATAGTTTATACAGGAAACAATTTCCAAATATCACTACCAATTTTATGGAAATTGTAGCAATTCATTGTACTAATTTATTTCCCACTAATTTATGTCTTCCAAATTTTATGACTAAAAAACTTCATTAATTATGCAAGTTTGTTCATTGCTACATACAGTTTATGATCATTTTTTTCTACCAATGATAAAAATATGGTCAAGTGGTTATCTGTCTGATTTAAACTCCATAAAATACACTAGTAAAGAAAATGTTAAATTACTAAAATTACAAGATATAAAAACTTTTCAAAGAATTTTGATTCATTTAAATATGTTTGTAAACAAAATTTGAATAAAGAATTAGAATTCTGCAAAAATGGGTAAAAATTTAACTTGTAATGTTATATAAACTTTTTTTTTTTTTTTATTGGAATATGGCTTATACTTACAAATCTCATATCTTTTTTTTATTTCTTTGGTTATAAATTTAACTTTTAAGGAATTAATAATGAAAGTAACATGACCCAAGACAAAATTTAATATTTAAAATACATTTGAGTAATTCCCACTGTGGCAAGCATGAAAAGTGTAATTTATGCCAACGTTTGAAAATATTTTTAAAATACTTCTTGCACATGTCTATGATAAAGAAAGATAATGAATCTCTCCAAATTATTTTTCCATTGTTTTTAAGCACAACTTTTTTTTATAATCACTATGATTACCAAAAAATTTACTTTCTTTGTGTTTTGCTACCATAAAATATTTCATATGATGTAGGCAATGAAATATAAATCATTGTTGTTCTTTGGGACATTGACAGTAATGTAAAATGAATTATAATTCTGTCAAATTTAGTCATTCTACTTTCTAATAAACTAAAATTTATGCATATACAATTGAAAAATTCTTCTTTAACCATGTAAAAGTGTATTTTGGGAATATATGTAAAAAAGATGACAAGATATTACCAATTTGTTAGAATGCAGACTTGATATTATCTAAAATTTGATGTCTTATTAGTTATTCATCAGGTATATTAATAACATTGACTTAAATTTATAATTTATTGATTTTTATATTTCATATTTATGGTTGGTAAGTCATTAAAAATTAAAACAGATGATTAGTACAGAGAGGCAGGATTAAAATTACCCTGTTGATTTTCTGTGAAATTTTTTATATTAAAATTTTTAGTCTACTTCCAAATTTATTAAAAATATTGAATGAGAAAAATTGTATTGAATATAATTAAATCAAGACTGTGAAATTGGCATTTAACCAATGTAATTTTATGAGATTACAAAGACTATTTTAGTTATAGTGTGAGTTTATCTAATGAAGTCATTCCAAAAATAATGTCCAGGTTTAGGGTCAGAAAAATATCAAAAATTTATTGAACATGATTTTTTTTTTTTTTTTTTTTTTTTTCTTGTCCTAAATTTTAATAAATAAATTTGAATTCATTCATTAATATATTCATGATGAATAACTTCAAACAATTCACAAATTTCATCATACTATTTTTTATAAATTGTCCTTTCATTTGGAGGATAATTATCTTGACCATTTCTCAATCACTGCATCCTGAAAAGTGTGCCCCAAGTAACAAACGAGTAATTATTTTTATATTTAAAAAATCTTTTTTTTTAATTTTTTTTTTTTTGATAAAAAAAATAGAGACTCCAAGAAATGTATCTTTAAAATGAATACTTATTTCAGAAGACTTCTTTATTATTTTCTAATATTCAAATTTCATGACTAATTTTTCCTTTTTAAAATTCAAAATGTGCTCCAGAGTTTTGATTATTCTACAAGTGCCCCCTGAAATATAAAAAAAAAAAAATGTTGAGAAATACTGATCTAGACGGTAGTTTTCACCTCTTCATGTTTTTAAAGAACTAGTCCATTAAGCTGTAAACTCTAAAATAGGTGGTAATGAGATGGAACAATATTTGCAGAAATAGGATGGTGTGAAATTTTGTCCCAACTGATATCTTACATCTTTTCAGATGTAACCGTTATTATATAGTGTTGTGTGGGAATACATACATTCATGAGGGAATACAACACTTTTGTAATTGATCAAATTTGATCTCTCTTCCTTCATAGAAGTATTTAAATGCTCTAACTAATTGCAATAGATGTCTGCTGTAATCATAACATTGATAAATAACTCAGTTAATCACACCAACACAGTCTCACTGAACATTTACCAAAATCTTCATTTTGGGGTCTGTTTTTGCTGTCTGTTTATCACCTTTAAAACCTTGTTTGTGTCATTGATATATAAGTGGTATTACATCTTCAATAACTTTACATATTACAAAAATGTAATGGCTTGATGTAGATTTTTTTTTTTTTTTATTACAATTGTATTATCTTTATTATTTTTTTTCACAGATGCTATATTATCTCTGAGATCAATATCTTACACCTATGCAAATTTGTATTAGTGATCTTATTTCATCTCAGCTGCTTCAGCAATAGGCTGAGGTGACCATTTTTTTATTTACTGGTAAGTTTTATTTTCCTTTTACATTAGTATTTCATTGTTAAACCACTTAGGATTTTGTGTTTGAAATTATCCTTTTTAAGAATAAAATACATGTGATATATAATAGTAATATATTACTGTTTTTATTTTAAAAAGTTTTAAAACTTTTCATGAATATTATTTTTACTTACCTCTCTTAAAAATTAAAAAGGACAAAAAAATAAATTTGAATTTTTAATCTCAATATGTTTATTCCCTTTTTAACTGATTTCAATTTTTAATAGTTAAAATTTTATGCTTTTAAAATCTAATTTTTTTACAATATTGGATATAATGGAATAAAAATTTTATTCCTCACTAAATACCCCTTAATTATTAAACTGTATAATTAATGCTCTGTGTAAATGAAAGTTGAATTAGGATGCAATTTCTTTTAGATATAAAATCAAAAAAATTCATGCTGTATACTTAAGTTATAAGGATCATTAACATCTTTTCATTACAGATGTGCTTTCTTACACATCTATGTTTATATCCAACATTTAAGAACCATTATAATTTATATTGTTTGCCTCTGCTGTGTTGTTTTTTTTTTTTTAATTTTTTATCAAAATATGAAATTATTTTATTAGGCAAATATGCCTAATAAAATAATTTCATATTTTATTAGGCATAAACCAAGCAATACCATACTGAATTTCCTGACAATAATATCAACTCCAGGATGATTAATGTTTTGTAATTTGTAACATATAGCTCTGATGAAGAACTGTTATCAGCATTCTGATTATTATCAGAAATTCATTCACTTGGTCATTTCCTCTAACAGCATAGTATTTTGAATGGCTTTTAATTTTTTTATTTGTTTAGGGAACACTAAGATTTCAAGGTAATCAATTTTCTGAAAGTGGTAGTATTGAGACAATATCCAGTTTTAAGCAAGTTTTATTATGATTCCTCAAGAATTGATAATCTTTTTTGAAAATAGTAACTAGAATGAAATAGATTTGGGGAACATGTATTTCACAAAAATGCATTGTTTTCCAATGCCTTGTGATGCTTGTCAGATTGTTATAAAAATGTCCTACTTAATAATTAGCAACATTTTAAATTTTATTCTTCAGTTAGTCTACTTGGATTTTCTTCTTATTAACGGGAGAATGAAACATCTGACATGTGATCACTTTGCCTTATCATTAAACAATTCCCGTAAGTTCATCAGCCATGAAGGCTTTTGAATATTGTTACAATTTATCCTACATAATACTATTCTGTAAAAATATAAATTGTTCTCTGCTTTCCTTATATTACATGAATATTCTAATTTTAAGTGATCTTGATGTTTTATGTATAATTGTATTTCTAGGAATGACAGAGGAATACAGTCCAGTCAGTGTGAACAGGGATGTGGGAACTGAGCAACCCTCTCTCTGGATCCACTCTTCAGAAGAGCCCAGGTAAGAATTTTCTCCTTACCATTACTAAGGTTAGTTGATGGAAAAGGATACATGGAAAACATTATTGAAATAGAAAATATTTTTTAATCATTAGAATGTTATGATTCTTTGTATAAAGAGCTTATGCCAAAAAATAAAATAAAACTGTAGCATTGTAAAGTTAGCACTATAAATTCATTCCAACTGCCAGCAGAAAATGTAAACAATTTATTTTAATCTTGCACTGCACAGAATTTATACAGAAAAGCAAACTGCAAAAATAAAAACAAAAAAATGTATTAGCTTGTAGCATGAATTATAGCAAGTTTTAACTGCTATTTTCTTTATAGAAATCATGTAAACCTCAATATTTTTCTGCTACTTTGATATGCTTGCTCTGTATATCTCTCATTATTTATTGTCATATCTTTATCTTCCTGAACTGCATATTTGGATGATCAACTCTCTTACTAGCACAAAAAAAAACAAAAAAAACAAAAAAAACAAAAAAAAAACAGAAGTAATGCACTGAATACCAACTTCAAAGGGCTGTTCTGAGATACAGGTGCATCTAGAAAAGAATTAGAATATAATGGAAAACTTAATTCTTTTTTTCTTTTTTTTCCATGAAAACCTAAAGTAGAGGTTTATGGAAAGAGGTTTTTATAAGGGTGTAAAAGGAGGAAGAGGAGGTGTGTTATAGGGATATGTAGGATAGATAATATTTGACCTTATACTTAAAGTTCCTAAAAAATGTAATGATCAGAGATGTATCCTTTTGAGTCTGTTCCACAAAGTAACCCCCCCCCCCTTTTTTTTAAAGAAGCTGACTGGAACTGTCTTCTTACCATTGGAATACAAAGGTAATTGAGGATGTGTTGAGCCTGTGTATGTGGCATGTCAGTTCCTGGCTATGAAGATCTGAATTAGTGGAACAGGAATGTAGCTCATCTAAAGATCTGCCAAGAAAATAAAAATAACGATAGAGTAGCAAAAAGCTAGCAACATTTTGTCCATGGGAAAGTGGTTGTAGGGTCGAAAATAATTCTGTCATGGCTGGAAAGTGAGGATTGAGCAGTTCTAAACCTGATATGGTAGGAATACTTCATTCTTAATCTGATCTAACTCTTCTAAAAGTAGAGTGTGACAGGAGTTGGATACTTTCTGGAGCAGTACACAGAACCAACAAATTTTCCAGCGGCTTTAGCAATGGATCATATATATATATATATATATATATATATTAAATCTTTCACTGAAAGTGAGCTTGAGTTCCAGTAAATGTTTGAGGTAAAGAGCCTCACTGAGAGCTCAACCATTCATCATAACTGGAGAAAACTTAGGATCTGCTCAGTGATGATGAAATGTTACTAATGTGGTTTTGGAGGTATTGAATGTTACATGCTAGTTCCTCCCCAGTTGGACTGTGACAGAGGATAGATCAGCTGCTAGGCACTGGTCATATAGAATTTTTGAGATACACCCTTAAAATATGGTATGATCTGAGGCAGATTATTACTTTCATATATTCTAGATTCATTATGCATAAAGTAAAATATTTCAAGAATTTTCTTTTTTTTAATCAGAATTATTTACAGCTTAAATGTGCTGAAAATAAATTTCATAAGATCACTAATGTGTGTGTGTGTGTGTGTGTGTGGTCTCTTAATCCTCAAGAACATGAACAAGCTTGTCTCAGTGCCTTTAGGTCTTGTGCCAGTACAATGTTTCTGACCCAAGGAGGAGTTCTGTTGCCTTGACTTCTGGGCAGATGCAACATGTCTACTCAGAACCTCATGCATGTATTTTCTTTCCTGGTTTGATTGTTTCTTCATTAAGGGTGCTGGAAGACGTTTTCTGGATTTTGATGTCATTCACCTAATAGTCAGGGATTCGAACCTTCCATTAACTTGAAAGGAGGCTATCCTATTAATAGGTGTATAATATTGGGGCTACTGTACTGCCATTTTGTGAATGGTTCCTGAACTGTGCAATAGTCTCCAGTGGGGCCTCTTGATGCCATGCTGAAGGGTACTGCTATGCCTGTAACTCTGGATGACTCTCTTCAGGTTATCTATACATGTGACTCTTGTGGGTGTGTCTTTCTCTCGGCCTCCAACAAATGCATTCATGAAACCAATAAAAATACAAATGAACAGATAGAGTTCAAAAGCCCTTGTGGGTGACAAACTATTCTCCAACTTTCAACCTTTCTCCCACAAGTGGGATGTGGCAAGCCTCTCACTGCTCTACTGCTACTTCCACGGAAAGTGCTCATATGAACTACATTCTCTGATCCTGCCAAGGCAAACTTTCACAGCAAGAATGTACCATGCCACTTACATAGTAGCAAACCACACACATTCCCTCCGTATCCCTTCAGTGAGATGTTTCCCCAATCACTACAATCTTAACCTGTTCAAGGTTAGGGTTAATGTTATCTTTCACTCCTATGCACACAAATGGCCTCCAAATGTAACCCTCTAAGTGGCTCCTAGGCCTTGTAAAGGGTCAACCTCACTGTAAAATATATATATGATATAGATATGTTGAACTTACTCAAAAGTATGTTTATTTATACACTCAATACTTAGCTTCTTTTTGCACAAAAGTATTGTTACATGGATAAAATCAGCATGTAGCAATGCTGATAAGTTATAAAAGCCTAGGTTGCTTTGATACCTATATAGATTCTCTATATAGTATTTTCAAGAGGACACCAATGACCTTTTGTGGTTTACCCTCCACAAATAGTGTCAATGTGTGTCTTCTGTACAACTCTCAGGTCAGTAGTATTTTCCAGACTGAGAAGAGATTCATAGTATTTATACTGGATAAATAGTGATTTATTCAAATTTGTCTTCTTTTTTTTTAAGCTGTAAACTATAATTATCAAGTTCTATTTAAATTCAGTCTTTGATGCTGCCTGGGTCCAAACCTTACAAAGATACTGTTGAAGAATTTATATATGGGTATTTGAAGAAAGGAAGATTCCTCATTATAGGTATATCACCTCAAAAGCTTTGCTCTAAAAATGTAGATTTGATGAGTAACTTTTAAGTAGATATCCCAAAGTAAAATTTGATTTTCAATATATCTAAAAACTGTTAATACAGACATAGAGATCTTGACAAAACATAAAAAATGTTACCAAATTTATCTTGGTAGCTCAGTTAGCAAACTTGTTATGATCAATCAAAGTTCATAAAATCTTTATCATATGTACTATTGGACAAAAAGCTGATTTTAAGTGTATAACTGAAGATGCAGGTTTTAAACAAGTTAAAAATCATTATACATGTAATATATAGGAAGTCTTAAATTAAAAGAAAGATAGTACTAATGGAATCAATAATTCTTAGATCAGACCAGCCTAAACATTGCAAAAATTTTGTTCTCAAAAATATAATAGTAAAAATATAACAGAAGTGTACATTTGAATGATCATATAATGATTTACTAAGCATATCTTAGATGTAGCACAAGGCCAAAAGTATGAAGCACCCAGTGAGGATTGAACTCGCTATTCAGTTGTAATTGATCTAGTGAGACAAGTTTTCTAACCACATCAAAGTGCCCATATTTGAATGATCATATGTTTCATTTCAATAGGTAATGACTTGCAACTTCTTCCTATACTTTATAGCACAACAGAGACAAAACTACTTTTTTTTCTCAATAATAAAATCTATGTTTACACCACATAAAAACAGCCAGAAGCACAATTTGACAGTAGAGCAAAACAGATCAAAAGTATACCATACTGACCTTGCCATAATAAAAGTATCCATTGGAAGTACATGCCTGAAATTTTGAAACTTTACTAATTTTGGTATGATGAATTCAACAAAACTATTTTCACTGTAATATCAATAATTTTGTAATATATGTATCTTATTTTGGAAAATTTTGTTAAATTTTTCATGTAATTTTCAACTTGTCAAAAACAGGACAGTAATGACTATAAAACCTAGAAATTTGTTTTACAAATAAAAACAAATCCTTTATAATAGTTCTTTAAACTTCAGTTTTAAACTGATAGAAAAGACTTTATGAATGGTTCTCCTGCACTTCCTCTCCTAATGGCGATTTGCTAACTGAATTTGCTTATGATCCTCTGATATGCTTAATATTTCTGGAACACTCCATATTCAGCCATTACTTTAAACTGGCACTACATTAAAGTCCCATCTGAAGACAGATGTTGATTCTTTTTGTGCAATATCATCTGACAAAGGTCATCAGAAATAATCATTTCTGCTCTTTGTTGGAGCTAAAAACTTATCACAGTACTGAATGGAGATACACTATCAATGTAAAAGTTGGAGTCATAATATACTGCAACTCATTGGACATGGTGCTCATAACTGAAGGTAATTTGAGTTGGTTCCTCTTCACCACAACTACTAAAGTTTAAATACTCCAAAGCACTCAGTGCATTTTCTTCTTTCTTTTGTCTTAGGTGGAGATAAATCAACTGATTTTCTTGTCGTCAAGTAGTTGCAAAGAGCAGCTTCAAGCAGAGATTTACTTCCACTGCTGTTGATCTTTATACCTAAGAGAACCTTCAGATTTCTAAATTGATCTTTAAGTGCTTCCAACCCACTGCTTGTTGTACATCTTTAATAGATTTTACAGGATCACTATGCTTGATAACCGAGTTAATGATTCTCTGTTTCTCAGCAGCAGCTTAACACTTTTCCATTCTTATGCCTCTCATTTTTAGCAATCCTTTCCTGTATATAGAGTTTCAGAAGTACTTCTTGTTTTTTGTGTCTTTGTCACAGATGTTTTGTATGCTTCCTTAAAATGCCAAGAACTGATTGCTGCTCAGCTGCTGATTTTTGCTTACAGTCAAGCTTGAGCATGTTTGATGTTGATCGATGGTGAAATGATGCATGTCATCTTTTTTTCTTTTCTTTTTTGTCAGTTCCACTCCAACTTTCAAGTGTCATTAGTACATTTAAATTTTGAGTGTTTGAGAAAAAAAATTTTCTTGTATAAAAGAAAAATACTAGATG